TATTGGAGATAACACCCTCCTCCCAGCATTTCTTTTTTTTTTTTTTAAATATTGATTTTTTTTATAAGGAATTTTTTTTTTTTTTTGTGAGATCAGCCCTGTGCTAACATATGCCAATCCTTCTCTCTTTCTTTTTTTTTGCTGAGGAAGACTGGCCCTGGGCTAACATCTGTGCCCATCTTCCTCTACTTTATATGGGACGCCGCCACAGCATGGCTTGCCAAGCAGTGCGTCTGTGCGTGCCCGGGATCCGAACTGGTGAACCCTGGGCTGCCACAGCAGAGTGCGTGCACTTAACCACTTGCGCCACTAGGCTGGCCCTGAGGAATTTTTATTTTTATTTATTAATTTTTTTAAATCTTTTATTTTTTGTTTATTGTGGTAACATTGGTTTATAACTCCAAAATTTCTGTATTATAATTGTTTAGGAAATTTTGTGGGTTTTTTCCTCCATATTGGAAGCTTTGTGAGGGTAGAGATTGTGTCTATTCACTATTGTGTTCCTAATTCTGACCATAGTGCCTAACACATAGTAGGCACTCCATGAATTTTTGTTGAATTAATGAATAAGGTGGTTACGGAATTGGATGTTTTAGTCTGAGATGAGGATGTCTTGAGGTAAGAGAGTAGGTTTAGTGGTTGAGAGGAAGAGCTGGAAGGAGATGAGGTTGTAGCCAGAGTCAGATGTTGGGAGTTGAAGATTTAGAGGCGGAATGGTTTCAGGAGATGGCAGGCTCCAGGACTGAGTTGTTAGAGTGGAGATGGAGGTCTTTGCATTTGATGAGATTATGAAACTCTAAGGCAGAAATGTTGGATAGATTGTGCAGGTGGATGTTGAAATTGCTGAGGAAAATGGTAGGATTTGAAGTGAGGAAAATGTAAGGCAGGCGTCCAAGTCTTTAATAAATATGAGAGATGGGCACAGCCCTTTCCTATGGTGAAAGAATGAAATGGGTAAGAATCAGTGCACTTCTGGGAATCAGTAATGCCTTAGTCCCTTGGAAGGCAGTGTGGTACATTAGAGAGAGCATGGGTTCAAAATATCTGGGTTCGGACTTTGGGCAACCCACGTGGCTTTTCAAGCCTATTTATTTCTCTGTTTGTAAACAGCGAATAAACCTGCTTCAAGAGTTTTGTCATTAATGAATAAGATAGTGTTTTTGAAAGTGCTGAATTAATATTATCTTGTTAGTTTTTATTCTTGATTGCTGTCCTCATTTCAAGAGGGCCGGGAAGTGGAAGTAGGGATGAGAGGCAAAGCAGCGGAAGTGAATTTTGAACAAGGTACACAACTTCATTTCTTCCACATGTTGAGTTTATATGATAGAGTCAACACAAACATTTACAAATGAATACAGGGAAAAGCAAGTACTGACATAAGGAAGGATTTTGCAAAATAAAGGTCACTGGCTGGCTCATCATAACATGGCAGTGTTGATCCACAACAAATTTTTATGTGAAGAAATGCTTTATCTAATCATTTTCCATGAAAATTCCTTCATTCCTGGAAGTAGATTTTATTGTTCTGGAGAATAGGACAAGGACTATTATGTGAAAGGTATATGGGGAGGAGGGCTATTGATTTAGTTTAGAAAAGCATTTTCTAATGATTGGAGCTGTCCGACAATAAAATGGACATTGTGGCAAAGGAATGAGTTCTCATCAGAGCTTGTATTCATCTGGAGACTGGATGATTTATCTGTCAGAGATGTAATAGAAGGATTCTTGCATAGGGGCAGATATTGGATTAAATAATTGCTAAAGTCTCTTCTAATTGGAAGATTGGAGGATTTTGACTCCAATTGAGATTTGTCTAAACATCATTCAATCAACAAATATTTGAGTGCCTCCTCTATTTCATTTGAAAGTTTGAAAGCCAGTGTTTGTTTTCTTTTCTTCCTTCCTGTGTGCTGAGACAGAGCCAAGGACTGTGAGTCTTAGTTATTGCCTTGGATCCATTTGGAATTTGAGAAGCTCAAGCCAGGTGGTGGTGGTGATGTAACAAAAGCCGCTGTCCTCACCTGTTGGGTGGGGTTAGGGTGGAGTCCATGGCATGCACTTGGAGACATCAAGTATAAGAATCTGCCAAGAAGTTTGGTTTAGTGCTTTGAATTTTTGAGCAAGTCATTCTAGAAAATGTTGGATCTCTAAATTATTTTTTAAAAATATTTTTTGAAAAGAATGACCTACTTTGTTAGCATATGATATCTATGATGCCATGACATTGATGGTTTTCATTGGCTTCTCTCACTTGGAAGCCTGTATCTGGCTGAGAAATCGCCTACATGCCTGTGGCTTAATCAGCTCTTCTTTCTTCCGCTGAGCACCTTTTTGCTGACTGCTGTTTGTATGCTTATTGTATATTTCCCACATACTTTCAGAAAATTATTAAAGTGGCTTTACTAAGTTCCCTTGCATGTTTTTTTCAAGAGAGAGGATTGAAATTAATCTTGCAGCTATGCTGTTGGTTTTGGATTATTTATAATTTATTTGGGCCACTACCATGTCCTGTGACTGAAATGGGCTTAGAGAAGGAATTCTTGTCTTTATTGGGGGAGGGAGAAGCCACTCATTAGTCTATGAATTCTGAAGGAATTTAATTCTTAAGTATTGAATGTAAGGAATTAATTTATTTTATAACTTAACCTTTTGAATTTGAGGTATCCTAGGCCAAAAGTTCTTTATGTATTGGTAGCCTTTGCTGACAATTGTAATATTGAAATGGAAGTAAATTAGACATTGATAATACATAGACCAAAAGAGAATGTAAGGATCATAGTTTATGAGGCTGTAGTGAACTGAAGAAGTTCATTTTTTAAACATGGAAAGGATCTTAGAAGTCACCTAGTCTAGGATATACAAGAGACACCTGAAACCCTGTAAGTAATTCGACCAAAGTCACCCAGCTAATATATATGGGTGTAGGTAAAAATCATATGATATGAGGATGGTGGAAGTAGTAATAATACAATTGATGTCTCTTTAGAAAGGAGAGTTTCTCAAACTTTGAGAGATGGATTGGGACCAGGGCAGACCCTTAGAAATAGAGGGGTGATATGAAGAATTTCTGATCTGTTAAGTTAAGCCTTAAATTGATTGGTTTGGTGGTGACTGTTGCGGAGGAGGTACACTTTGTCATTTAATCATTTATTCATCAGGCATTTATTGACTGCCTACAATACTGTAGATGCTGTGCTAGAGGTTGGGGCTACAAGTATGAATAAAACATATCCCTGCACTCGTGGATCTCTTGTACTCCTGGAACAGTACAAGAGAGAATACTTTTTATTTTGCTCTCAAAAAAAAGTTCAAAGTTAAGTTATCAAGTTAGTGACCTACTGGTTATATAACCCATAAATCATTGCTGTTTATTGGCCTTAATATTTCTAAGGAATGCAGAAAATTAGCATCTGATCACACCACTAAACACGCTGGGTCATGGGGCCGGGGGATGTGTGAAGAAAACGTATCTGAGAGACTTCAGGTTGTTTGGGAGATGTTTCTGAAGAGACAGTTACCTGAGTCACCCGTTACCTTTGAGAATTCTACTTTTGGCCTTCCCCAGAAGGCAGAGGAGTGGTGGGTGTGGTAGGGCAGGTATGTACCTGGTGACTTTATGAACAAGTCCTCTTCTGCAGAGAACTATAAACCTGTCTGATGTGGCAGAATTTGGTTAGAGATTGTTCGGCACTCCGTTATTGCTTCCTCATTGGGGGCTGCTAACTTGAGAGGATGTGGATTGTTGCAGGCTGTTAGATCAATGACATAGTTTCTGCCAAAGTCAAGTCTGAAAGAAGAGATCTTTTTCAGGTGAACTTACTTGGTAGTCATTTGTCCTGAGTGGAGAAAGGCAAGTGTCCTGGGTTCATGAAGTTAGTGGACAAAGACGGACTTTTGTTATGAACCTTTGGGATCTCCACTCTGCTTTGTGAATAGCTTATTGTTTTATTTTGAGAGTAGTTTTGTTTTCTTTTTTTAAAATGCTCCCTTTTTAAAATAATTTTATTTATTTATTTATTTTTACCCCAAAGCCCCAGTAGATAGTTGTATGTCATAGCTGCACATCCTTCTAGTTGCTGTATGTGGGACGCGGCCTCAGCATAGCCAGAGAAGCGGTTCCTTGGTGCGCGCCCGGGATCCGAACC